CGTTACCCAGTTCCAAATAAAGATTACCAACGGCAAATGAGCAAAATTTCAACCGGTAATCAAGATTCATTCAATCCACGGCTAACAAGCTACATCACAAGCGAAGTTGTAGCGTGCAGCTCAGCGACGACCGCTGTCGACGAAAGTCGTCCTGTCAGTGGAGTACCGCAGTAGCATGGTATGTTTGCCAATGCAAAATTCTGTGGAGGAACTTTTACATTGTAACTTCAACATTAATTTGTGTCAACCCTTCACCATTGTATTCAAATGAATCACGTGGTGTGCCGTTCTCCTTCAAACCTGGCATTCAATCAATAGGGGAGTTTCAGTAAAAAAAACATCGCAAATCATGCAAATTCAACATCTTCAAACCAGTATACTAAACAGAAATGCTCAACGATGCAAAAGAAGAATAGATATATTACTTTTCAGTATACACATCTCTGTTGATACTATCCCTCACATATTCTACTCCCAACTATTCCTGCGAAAAATGGACTTGCCTCTTTTCATGTTGACATTCAGAGTAAAATCATGTGACAGGCTGTTAAAAATGGCTGTTGCATACACTTTAGCCGGTCTGGGAAATGTGTTTAATTAGCTCTCATTCAAGCAACAATGCAGATTTCCCAGTGGGAGTGAAAATATTCGACTTTGCCATTAAAAAATAGGGGTGTTTTCAGCACAATACGAAAAACCCTGGAATGCACACAACACACTGAATTTCGGAACAAATCGTGCTCTATTTACAGTTGCAGAATACTACAGAAATATCAGACGAAACATGGAAACACTACATTTTTTATTTCGGCCTGAGCCCTCTCTATTGCAATTCCAGGAATTAACCCCATATGTGCATCCATTTTCCACCTTGGTATCACCCACCCTTGAAAACAAACTCTTAATACCACGCTGAAGCGTTTGGTAATAACAAACCAATCACTACCCAAGTCGGCCTGGCTGAGAAACTTTCTAGCGTATCAGTACAATGGTGACGTACGTGAAATTTGATCAGTTGCAAAGACAATAATTTTCTTGATTTGTGTGCCGCAGTGCGTCGATAAAAATGCACGGGTCGGCTGCATTGATCAAGTTTCTCTAGTTTGGCCTTCGTGGCTGGAGAAAGACAAGATACCGTATAATCTCTTAAATAGGCGTCACTCTAATTAAGGCATCCGGGAGGTGCGAAAGGCCTTAACTTGGTTCTAAAATAGGCGTCCCCAAATTATTGAAAAATTACGGTCAATCAAAAAAACTGTGCATATGATAACAAAAAATACTTTGTATATTTAATGTAATATGCATAAATATTTTTAAGCGAATGATTTTGGTCACATGTAAACACTGAATGTGTTACGATATCTGTCATATTTCTCCATGCACACGAATGACCTGTGTTCTTTGACCTGATAGCTCAAGTGGCTAATTAACCAATCAACATGCTGGTTGGTGCCAATGTGTTTGAATTACCATAGCTCATTTAAATATGTTAATGACAGTTCAGCAACTTCATGGTGAACGCAACACGGAAGAGATTTACTGATGTTGTAGTGCGATCTTTTGGCTTTGATTTCAATGGAAAAACGACATGATTTTTTTTTTAAATCAAGAAATTAGTTGTTTTCGAAAGATAAACTGAGCACTGAAAAAGAATTTAACACATTTTATGAAGATAAGAGCTCACTGTCGAAACACAGTTTACCCATTCACACTACCCACAATACCCGGTAAACATCGTACTCTTGAATAGGCGTCAATGACTGCAGAAAACCTAAATTAGACTATAATTTAGGTGTCAGGAAAGATAGAAATGTTCAAAACATACGGTACAAAACATCAAAGCAAATAGACAATCAGACGACTTAAAAAGCTTATTGTATGTACAGCGTAAGCTGACAAACAGGAATCTCTCTGGCCCAGACCATGCATTATGACTCTCTCAAGTGGCGGCTATTACCCCACACCCCAGCGCCTCCCCAGGCGGATTTTCTGAGGGAGAAATGACCCTTTTGGAACATCAACTTTGTCTTTATAAAATGTATTGCATTCCAAAAAAAAGGCATAGAATTTTTTTTTAATCTGCCCGATTTAGAAAAATAAATAAACATACCCAGTAGAATTTTGGGGGGAAAAAAATAATAGGTATGTTTATTTTGGAGCATTCAAATCATAATGCAAGAAATGATTTTACATATTTAGACTGACTGAGTCAGTGAGTGAGTAGTTGATGCAAGGAAACAATATTTGCCTGTGACATATATGAACAAAACTGAGTGCGACTACATGTGACTAGACTAAAACCTGAGTAGAAAATTAGTGACTACTTGCACTGTACAATCCTGTGAGAGATTATAGAAGATTATAGAAGATATACTTACGCAACACTTCTGTGATTATTGTCTTGCAATTTTAATTTATGAAATGCAGCTGAGATATTGCTGTCTGATTTACTGTGTCCAGCCACTGCTGTCAGGTTATTCTTTTTATTTGTCGGAGTTGTAGCTGTAGAGCGCACTTCCCGAGTTGACCCTTTAGTTTGTCTTACGACACTTGATTTTGGACGGGTTGGCCCAGGAGGTACAGGCACTCGAGCTGAAGATAAATAAAAACAAATCTATATAAACTGTTTAATACAGTCAAATCTTGAATAGCAACTACCCAAGCATCGTCCGATTCGCACAATTTAGGTGAAGCAGAACATTTATGGCTGTCCCTACAAACGTGTGCATGATTGTGTTAGGAAATGTGAATGATTTGATTTAGCAAACCCAGGAGCTGGATCCATCACTCAAATTAATTTAAAATTAAAATTTGAATTGAATCAGGCCATATCGCCTTGTTCATCTCCAAGAAACGGTTGACAAAATGGCCACCATTTCAACAAATTTGATCAAATCTTAAGACAAAACATGTTGTTGTGTTACCGTATTACCCCGGGCACGCGCCCAGGGACCTGAACGTACAAAATCGGGAAAAATTGGGGGTGGGCGTTTACCCGAGGACCACCCCAAAAAAGATTTTAAAAAGTTGTTTTTGTGATCGTATGATAAGGTCAAATAAAGGAATGCTTTCGTACATTTTGTACACATACTTATTTCTTGATTTATGCGAGGTTTCAATAAACGTGAGCACTCAGTCAAGAACTGTGGGAACACTAAGACACAGGGTCGAATTTCAAGAATAAAACTTGTTTTATGTCAGCGAATGAAGTTGTATTACTCACTGAAATTGGCTACAAAGTATGGTAAGTATTGTAATCAATGCACGGTTACTTTTTAGTAACCGTGATCAGTGCAAGTCGAAACGGCCGGGAAAAACTAATTTTGTTCACGCACGTATTGATACATCGCATCATAATTACTGAAGAATAGCAAACAGGGTTATGAAACGAAAAAAACTTTTATTACTGATGTGAAATGTTTACAAACTATTGTGAATACATAAACATATCCAAATGGCGATACATAAAAAACAGACTGAAAATAAACTCTGGTCGACCTCATTAACATGATTTATTCACGCACCCACACACGTGACAAAATTATGATGCAACAAATTCCCACCGTCGGCATGCCTCATTATGGTTATCGTAATTGACTTGAGGTCGACAAAATGTTTTTTCCTTCAACGACAGAAAAATAATCCACATGACCGTAATGCCATAGCTGTGATGAAGGATGGAAAGAAAGTAGCAAGTTTACGACGTGATGTCTCAAAAGTGCTAGCTCCCATTCACAGTCAGTTGGCATCGGTGTCGCTGGGTGTATATGATAGAAGGAAGTTGTGCAACCAAATTTGTCGAGTTCACAGTTTTTTGCCGATAAAAAAATAACTAAGGCAAAAACTCACGGTTTTTCAGCATTTTTGTAATAAAGACATTATTCTCTATCAATAATCCGCCCCAAATAGAAACATTTCCACTAATTCTTGTGTTTTTTTTGACGTTTTTCGAAAAACCTGCGATTAGGCTGCGAAAGTAGAACATTCCGGAGGGGTGAAACGGAAGAGCTAAACTTAACACGTAAAAATAGAAGGCGTATTTTGACCTCTACGTGGCCAACCAATGGCTGGACACGGATACGTTTTTGGTCGTTGTCAAAGAGCTCTGCGTCCATCTGGCGATGCTCTTTCAATGAGTTTTTACGTAAAAACACAAAAAAACGGCCCTTTTCAGGGCCACCACACACTCCAAAAAGAGAACTACCGTAACAAACACACTATTTAAACGCGTTCGTTTTTGACAAATAAAACTTTATTGTTGACCCCATTCTTGGCTAAAAATCACCCTGGGCGTTTAACCGAGGATGTCCCCAACATGTAACTTTTGTGAAAACAGGGGGGTGGGCGCTTGCCCAGGGAGGGGCGCATGCCCGGGGTAATACGGTACCTTTAAGTATACTACCTGAATGTACAAACTTTCAAGTGAATCAGGCCATATCTTTCAGAGGAATCAACACAAAAAAGGAAAAAAACAAAATGGACCTCGTCCAAATAAAAAATATTTAAAAAAAATATTTTTGTTTGCTAAATTGAAAAGTTCAGTGAGAACCCCTTTAAGAGTCATTTGACTAATCTATCAAATTTGATAAAGAAAATATCACAAACAAGTATAAGATTATAGTGCAAGTAAACTGATCACGTATTTGCATGCCACACCTTCCCCACAATCATCCAAATCGATGTAAAATTTTAACAGAAGTCCATTTGATCATAGAGCAAAACATTTTTAAAGCTCTGACTGACTCTTGATTCACTGTGTTAGTATTTACGGGTATTATGCTCCTTATTGATATGACATCACGCATCTAATCACTGAGTAAATGGTTTAAAAAAATAACAACTACCCGGTACATACAATCGTGTAATCACACAGACATGTACACAGTGCAGTGACCCTGTGACACAAGTGATGGACTGACAGCTTGCCGTTCAAGTGTTTAACACACTCTACTTTTGTCACCAATTCGGTTTCAAGACATACATGTGCGGTCTATAAATAGTATATTATTTAGTATTTCGGTAGCAACCAATAAGAATAGTCTTTACCTTTGCTGGCGAAGGTAGCCATCACAGTTTCGACTCGTAAACACACGGTACTCCACATTTATACGGACGTTCCTCCGAATGTCTCTAGTTCATAAAATGACACAATATCGGCGACCGCCATAATTGATAATATCGTGGTTAATTGTGAACTTTAGAAGGTATGCGAGTGTTTTTCCTTCAAAACAAACTCGCCGGACAACAATTTAGTCAGTCGGCCATTTTGATATATGGATCCCCTAAGTTTAGAATAAAAAACGCACTATATTACCCTAAGGCGGTAAAAAAATGACAGAAAAACGACTGTAGCGCTAGTGACAAAATTCAACACAAGAGAGCGCCATAACAGAACAAGCGACGACTCACTGAAACAGATTATATGAAGAAGACTCTCGTTGAGAGCTACTACGGAGTAGATAAGTGACAAAACACCCAAGTTTATTATGTTATGTTTATTCATTTTTTGCATAATTTTAACATTTTCGTGTCATTTTTTTATTAGTTATTACGCCATTTTATCATTATGTTATTTTGATTTAATCCTTACACCAATTTTCTTTCATTATGTTAGCATTTGTATTTAATCTTCACATCATTCCATCTTCATGTATTTTATCACCATGATAGAATTTTAATTGAAACTTTACACGACGTTTATCATTGTGATAACATTTTTATTGTCATCGCCGTTTATAAATTGAGATCCCATATTCCGCTTTTTAAGATGGCAAGAGATACAGCACGATTCATACTTTCGAAGATACGCGAATTATTTGGTGTTTGGTATCTTGGTGTCTTACAATGCTTCTAGTTCTGAATTATGGTTACCGTAATACATTTCCAGGCGACCAAGTTTCGATTCTCTGTGCCCTTTCACCGGATTGCGCAGTTTTCCAATGACATTTGTGAATAAAACATAAAATCAAGCCCCAAAAAGACACCGTAGCGTGTCTGTGTTTAGATATTTTTGTTATATTCGTATAGTGCATACATTTGTGAACAGTTTGTCACAAAATATGATGAAAAATGAAACTCGTTTGACTGAATATGGAACATATAAATTATGACCTGACTACTTCAACATTTTTGAAATTTCTATGTATTAAAATGTATAGTTTTGATGAATATTGATCTTCTATTTTGAGCAATACCATAATTGTATTTTATTTGAAGTGACTCAAAAAATAAATATATACAAAAAAACAAAAACAAAAAAAAAACATGATGAATGATGCTGGAATAAATGGGCCAATAACAAAATTAATAATTCATGCAAATTAGCTAATTAGAATCCACCGATTTCAACCCTAAACTAATCAGGTATGTGTCCCAATCATCTATGTACTACGGTTAAGTGAAATAAGAAGATTCATTATGAATAAGGGTGAAATTTGCTAATTATTATGCAAATTAGGTAATCAATATGCGCCGATTTTAACCCAAAACGTCTGCACTTTGTCGCCTAGTATCTATGTATTAAGTTCTTTGGAAATGCGGTGATTGGTTCCTGATATATCAGTACGAAAGCTGGAAATTGAACAACTACATATAACATACAAATTAAGCAATTAATGTGCAAAGGTTTTAATCTCGAACTTATCGGATCTGTGCATTGTTCTAGAGCATGTCAGTGGAAAAGACATACATACACACCGATACAAACTGTGAAGGCTCCCATTGTCTGCTTCACAATTTGTGTATGTTTTTTTCTTGACGTGACTATGGCGACGCTGCAACAGGCCACAGCTTTCTAAAGAGCTTACATATACTGAAACACTGTAAGTAATACTAGTAAGTGGTTTGAAACACTCCGGACATGGGCAGGACATTTGTGTGTTTTTTTAAATATTGGTAACAATTTCAAAACAGTTCAATCAATATCAAGACGAAATTGAAATCGATTGAAACACAATATTGGTAACGAATCTAAAAAGTACTAAAATGCATATGTGGATGATGGATATTTGATCAGGCAGTGCAAAAGTTATTCTTTGTCGTCATTAAGAAATCAAAAATCAAGGTGGGTGGGTGGTGTACAAAAACAAGCTCATTAAATATTCCAAAATATGCAAATAATTTTCAAAATATCACGATAAAGACGGCACAATTCAACATCATAGCGGCAGTATTTGAACTTACCTAGAGGCTTGTACATTTTCTGCAATTCAGTAGTAAAATGGCGATAAATTCAGTTTGATAGCAATAACTGGTTTTAAATTTACATATCATAAGACTGAATGTATATACAGACTGATTCACTTTATAGAGACAAGTGGGGTAACATATTAAATGAGAAATTCATCAAATACAATATATAACATGGAAATTTCGAACATCATTTGTGGCGGTTTCAATTTAATAGTATTCATTGTTTCAACAGTTTTTCCATCACAGTTTTATTTTCATATCTCCAATTTCTGGCACGTTCATTGACAGACTCAAACAAACTGGATGTACGGACGCATACATTTTTATAGTTTCGTCACAGTCCGGGATAGAGGTTGACGGTGGTTTTGCGTAAACACATCAACATGACGAACAGACATATTGTAAACAGACAAGAACAAGAATCACAGTTGGAGTTAAATTGCCGCGAATAGGTCATTGATCCTTGGTCGATGACACAGGCAAACGTACTCTATTTTATACATAAATCGACTGGATGCGAGACGAACACGATAACCACTTCACACTACCACTACCCGTAGGTTGTCAGCAAATACATAATGACACTGACAGACTCGCGCATTTTCTTTTTATTTATTTTTTGGCATGTTGCACAGTCAAGAAAATAATCTAGAAGACCAAACCCGCCCTTTCAGCAAGTACCTCTGACATCAAAACACTAGTGATTAAAAATATGTCCACATTCCGTCAAAAACAACAATGATTTAATTATGCCATAGACCTTTAGTGATTAGGCAAAGCAAATATTGAATGGAAATAAATATCTGCAATTGATACTTTAATTTTCGTTTTTTTTCATTTATTTTGCATGTTTTCTACGATATAAATGACATGTTCAGGAAGAAATTACTTGTGAAGATATAACCTGAAAATATAGCTTGATTGGCGCACTCGCCGGCCGAACGACATCAGACCCCACTGTTGGGTTTGGAACCCACGGAGGGCGCAACTTACGCGGCCTTGTCAGTGAAGATCTTACACTGATAATTACTAAAGTCCTTATGTCACCGTCTATTGCGATAGGTAAAGAATTATACTACCAGTGCACACTATATACCAACGCAATTATATAAATTAAATCCGATGTAGGTAGAAGCTCGGGTGGTTGTGTACAACCGTCGGTGTAACTGTACGCGGTTTTAGTTTTGCGGCCGAACATTGTATACTATTCGTTTTTTGAGAAATGAAAAACTATTACGCATGTGCAGTTATTGTTAGTGTATGTATACCAAAACTGTGTGCTACAAGAATGAGGTTTTTCGTTCATAATAAATCATAATCTATAAAAGTACTCATAAACATACATCATCTAAAAGAGATATTAAAAATAACATGTTTTCATTTACATCATTAATATACTTTTTTTCATATTTGACGCAGTTTTCGCGGTTCATCGTATTACAACTATAATACTCACATTTATATTTTGATATGAAAACATGGCCATGGTCTAGCCCAAACAAGCCAGCCAGGGACATACTCTACTTTTGATTTATGTCCGAATTGCACTGGAACCGACATGGTTTAGCCCAAATAACCCAGCCAGGGACTCTACTTTTGTTCCTACTCTGTCCAATTCAGATTTAATTTCTCGCTTTTCGACGGAACTTGATTATTTCTCGAGTCGTGAAGATATTAAACTGTGTAGAAGCTGTCATCTTCAGAAAACGCACTGCCTTGATTTGTATTTATTATGTTGAACACGGAATAACTCGTATATGAGAAAAAATAGTTCATATATTTTTTTAAAGCACAGAGTCTATGGTGATTCATATATTTTGCGATTTGTAATTGTTTGTGAAACATCATGATGTAAGCAAAATTGTGAACACCGCTACTGTTATTACAACAGCCACACTACAGTCACACCTTCGCTACTAACCATCTGCCTGCCTTATAATGGACCTATTTTAGGCAGTTCCAATGCATAACGACTTTACGTATGAACAACCTGTATGTGAAAACCAAATGTCTTATGACAACATTTTTTTTTTTTTTGTTAATTCGCCTTTATTTGTTTCGTTTGTAAAATAATAATTAACACTCAGTTTAATAAAAACAATTTGTAATTGCCTCAAGTCAGACTTAATTGATTGTGATCAATTCAAATAAATATCTGTCTTTCGAAACAATACCGTCTCATTATTTTCTGGACAAATGTCAAATGTTTGAGATGGCGATTCATAAAAAAAATACGAGTAATAAAACAAACATATAAAGTTAATCATATTGACAAAGACACATTGTCTATAAAGACTCTTTTAATGAAGTCCGGCTTTTAGTGGTCACTACACAGGGTTGACTCTACTTGTAATTATATTCTGCTGTCGATGATAATGTAATCACTACCGAGGATGTATAAAATAAGGGTATACGCACAACTGGTATGAAAGGCAATACAAATCTCATTTGTGGTCACGTGAATTACGAGATGATCACATAATTCCAAGACAAATAAGCTGACATTCTAGATATCCTGAATGAGCGCATGTGAAAAAAAAGGGATTGTGTTTTTTTCTTATAGATCATTGGTACTATGCAATATTGAAGGCCCACATATTTACATTTACTTTGCCTTTGTTGGGCGTGTTTTATATAACCCTGTTTTTTTCTTTCTTTCTCGTGTATGTTTCTCATGATACATAAAAACAAACTATTTCAACCAATTGTAACCCTAAACATGTACGTTATTGATTACAACTCAATTGTATCCAGTTCACAGAATCAAAAGTGGCTACAAACACGTATGAAGTCAGCCCTGGCACGGCGTCTAGGGGAGAATAAATATCGGGTGTTTCGCCAGTAGTGAACTTGGTGAGCGTGCAGTTGGAATTCTATGCATGTACGCATATGTTACATATTTACCCGAGTACTCGATACAAACCATTATTTTCCAAATACAGGTTTAAAACTAAAACTAAATTATCAACATAATATAAATGATCATACTGAATGACATTTAAAAAAAAATTAAAAGTGAAAATCACAGACATATCAAGCACCGATATCAATGAGGTAATACAGTATCAGTATATCCAATATATTGACTAAAACAAACAATCTCAGCACGTACAACGCGTGGCAAATATTCAAGTGCATAATTTAACCACGTCTATAGAAAGGATGTGTTTCGAATGATATATTATCACGTGCAAATAAACTCATCCATATTCATTTGGATGTCTGAGTTTCAGACTAATCGCGAGACGCAAATCTCGTACGTGTAGTCATGTACACGATAACCCCGGCACACTGATGACGTAGGATGTACAATTAACATTCTGACGCGGAATAGAAAACGTCGAATTCATCAATACATCTAACAGTAGTCAGTGATGTAGATTTCAGCGCTCTGTCTGTGGTTGCTAGGCAACTACATGCATTAACACCATTGACGACTGATCAATTACAAACTGACAAAACATAGTATTCAGTATCAAGTTAAAGATCTTATATTTTCACTGCAACTATTTCTAAAATCTCACTTTCAACCAATACTTGAACGTTCTTTGAAAAATAAACCCCGAAATAAAAGTTAATCATATTAACAAAGAAAAATTGTAATTTTCTTTGCAAATTGAAATGATTGTAGATGATGGGAGCAGCATTACGAAGATCCTTGGCAGATGTTCAAGCCACAGTCTGGTGTAAGCGCTCTGAATGCGAGACGTTGTGTAAATGAATACAGACGGATGCCAGTGTATTTCCCCATACAATGTTTAAACACATTCATAAATTTGCTGAAATAAAAAAAAACACCTTTAGTCAGATAATAAGGTGCGATATTGTCATATGCCCATGACGTCGACATAACTGTCGGAGAACCAATCACAACGAATTGCGTCATAAATACCGTAATTTCAAATGACAATGAGAGAAATCAGTCATCTCCATCGACAGTATAAGTTAATAAATCAGACACATAGTCTCCATGTAAAACAAACATTTACCAACATGTGTCTTGTTGAATTGCAAGAAAACATGTTCAAGTGTCGAAATTGTCTTCGATAGAATGTACTTGTAAAAATACAATATACAACAGTCCGTTCTAAAATGTGTACGATTTCAGTAACCATGTCTCAAAGCAAATCAAATCGATCTCCGTCTCGGTCTGCAGTAATGGCATGCATGTTCAACGTGACAGCGCCTTTTTTCGGGCCTGTACACGCTATTCGGGAGAGGGCGTTATATATGCTCAACTCTGGACAAAATACAGATATTGGGGTGGAATCAGTTCCGACATAGAACCTAGACTAGAGCGTGTACTAGTATATGGTTTCAATCTTTATTTCTCATTTCTGAGCCTATTGTGTTCCACCATTTTTAATGTCATATTGTGTGCCGCAGCAGGATAGAGAATTGCAATACGAGTGCATAGTACGTGGTTTAAATGTCAAGGCGATTATGGTGCAAAATTACATTTTGTCAGTTTTCGAATCTTTTTGTTGAATACTAGTATCTCAAATGTGTATGTAGTGACAAGCAGGCAAGCAAACAAATTATAATAAATAAACAAATAAATAAATAAATAACTACTAGTATCTGCTGTTTATCTGACTTTATAGTGTATAAATAACAATGGAAGTAAAAAAAATACGATGGACCTCGGTATTAATGTATAACCTTCCATATTGCGGAATTCACAGTTAGGACTGGCTGCTCAGGATCAGTTAGCAGATGCGGTGGAACTAATCAGAATATTGAAAATTACTAGCATTTTCTTTAGTAACAAATCGCATGTTAAGAAGATAATTACTTGTGGTTGTACTGTAAGTTAGTATGATAATACTGAGCATAAACCATTCTGACTTCGGGACATGATCTTTATGCATTATTCCCATATATATTCGGTGTAATTACCGATACGTAGGAATCGTTGCATGCGGGTGAATTTATTGTGTTGGGTATGTTGCCAGTTTCGGGCTTCAAACAAAGTTTGTATTTGCTTAAAAGTATTTTAATTAACGGGTGTGTAGCTTTGATAAGTTTATATATATATATATATGTATTGGAATGTCGACATTTTACATTGGAATCTTTTGACGAAGGGTACGGTAATTACCATGCATTGTGCCTGACATAGACCTCCAAGCGAGCACCCCTACTTGCTCGCCCATTCTCGTATTTCAAGGCAGCGTTGGGATTCACGTCAGCCCCTTTCACAGCTCATCAGTACGCCGCTTTGTTGCGTTTGCCCGGGCCACTTGTTCGCTTACTAAGACAGTGTTCACGTCGTCCCATGCATATTTGCGTTGAAAGGTGTACTTTCTCCCCGCCGCCGTGTGACAGCTCGTGTGTCAATATGCACTGGTAGACGTCTTTTGAAACTTTGCTCGGTCAGTTGTTTTTGCCATCGAATTTTGAACTCGGACAGAGAGCTTTTGACAGGCACTGGTTTCCAGCTGGGGCGTACGTGTGTATTTCTCCCGGCTTTCATTCTGTTTATTGACAGAACTGTTGACATAATGTTTTGTCTAAAAGTCTGTGCTAATCACCTTCCACGCCCTCGGTATAATAGCGCTGTCATTTGCATCTACAACATAATTACACCCGTTAGCAGGAACCATTTACGGAACGGGCGATTGTTATTCACCATTAAAACGCTGGGAACGTTCCAGCTATCGTCGGATCAACTACTTGTTCAATGTCTAGTAAAAACTAGTAATTTTACTGTAATGCACAGACTGAAAACTATATCTATGTTCAACGTATATCAAGGCTAACTTCTTCACGCGATGCAAAATGAGCTGAACTACCCTAATCCACTGAAAATCAAACTGACCCTCTTATTTCAACACCCATTGTTAACATTAGTCAATCAACTGACAAAGCCTAAGCCACGTGGTTAGAATAGCGTACCGCCATTGGCTATTGTTGACACAGAGGTGGTTTTAGTACCACCCATGAAGAAAACGTATCACGCAGTACGTATAAGTACATATGAGAACATAGTCCCACTATACCATGGTGGTTAAAATATTACTTAGTGACTGTAATTTCATTAAGTTTACTTTTTTTTTAGAGTATATGAGTAATATTTAATTATAAGTTTCATTATAAGACTCTTTTACAAACTATGTAAGTCTATGTCTACTGCGGATGGATATCGTGATCGTGTTGAAAATATAGTTCGCCAGGTGCAATAGACTCTACCAATTTACATACAGAGAACACAATTAGAGGAATATCTGTGGCAAGTTTTTTTGACTTGTAGGAAACGATTTTGCCATCTTTATGTCTTCCGATAGTTGATATTGGCACGGAAACGCCTCCATAGTCCAGCTAAGATGGTGGCATGGTCCGTGTTTGTATTTTTGGTTCCATTTTGGCGTTGATTCGTGGTAAGTTGCGTTTCTTCTGTGTGTATTGTGTATGTATATGTATAGCTCGTACGCTCGACCGTGTACGCGATCAGTCAAAATAGTTGACGTATGTACTATATTTTGGCCGATCCGTGTATCCGACGCATACTTATAACGATCGCCGAGGCTACCGAGTATATTGTTAAATGGTCTGTATTGCTCGATTAGTCAGTTGTCTTGCGATCGTTACTTGCGTTAGATTCGCTTCCGACGATCAACGTAAATGTAATTGATAGTCGGCCATGTTGGAATTCAAGCATGGGAACACAGCAATGTCCTATCAAAACCGTATAATCTTATTGAACAAACATATTTCCTCGCCACCTAGAACCCAAAACTACCAACAGCACGTCGGTTCACGACGAGCCCGTATTTTGTAGTTCGGACAAAACCTCATTGCAGCGTATCTATGCTTTTGGCAAATGACTACATGTTAGTGCTCTGTCACGTGATTTCCACTATGAAAACAACAGCACAGGCTGGCCAGAGAAAATTCTGTTCAGGTCAGACTTCTAACCGTGACTGTGTATATATTGTTGACAGGATCGTGTTGGAGGATATTCACGCCGTGGTAACACATTTTTGCTTATTGCCCTGCTGATATAGTGCATTAAATTCAAAATCGAATTGACATCATCTTCAGTATGTAATGAAACAGCATTGGAAATATCTTGTAACCTCAACAGGAGGTGGTCAACTAATGAAGGTCACATAAGTTTCACCGGGCCCCATCCTCAATGATTCCTCTATTTTGTATAAATGAACAAACAGACAATGTTCAATGAGAAATACTTTTCTGGTAGATTTTTTTTTTCAAGCTCTGTGCATTATGAATTTGTTTGGGGGGAGGGTAGGAATTCAAAACCGAACACTATGAGTTGGAACACCTTTCTTTGATTTTGTTTGTTTGTCGTTAATAGGTTTGATTTTATAGATTGTAGGCATAATTAACATATTATAAATTTACTGAAATTGCCTGAGCCGTATTGTCAATAACAATCAGACCTACCAAGTGTATTGCATGTTCACACTCACTATAAATCATTCTAAAATGCTGCCATTAAGTGCAACTCTATAAATCGCAGGTTTTTCCATAGGTTTATTAGCCATAATTGTTAAGATGCTAGTAATATGCTGGGTGATTTTTATTATTTCTTTCATATTAAGTGATTTGCCATTTCCAATACAAATATAAATGATTGACAACCCACATTGTGACAGCCTCTAAGTTAGAAACGTTACTTTGACATTCAGCCTGTAGCGCGTGTTGACGGATTCCGGTTAAACATTGAGTTAACAGGTCAAACATTGAGTGTATACTTATGCTAGTTAGTTTAGCTGTTTTTTGTTGCCCTTATGATGGTGTTACATAAAACCTTTGATGACCCATTTGTACAAAATAACGATCCCTGTTATATGTGCTTGAATTCTCCGCTGGGAAGTATTTATCACGATATTTATTAATGATTCACTTTGTGTGTCAGATTAACTCGGGTGTAAATATGCTCAAGAACAACAACAACAAACAAAGAAAATTGATAAGTTTGTCATGCCATGTGATAAATGATAAATAAGCATTTTGGCATTATCAAGTAATGTTTTTGGATTATGGCCTGTTGTTGCATGCAGACTGTGTCATTTAGATCATCCACCTGATAAGGTGCTCTGCAGATTCCCCATTAACATATGTCTGTTAAATTATCGCTGTTGAAATAATTCATGGTAATAATCATTTAAGAGCATTTATAGTTGGTTTTGTAGTTACTGACTCCCAAAAATTGTACAGTATTTTGTGAATTTTTCCTAATGGAAATCATGAAAAGTTTTCCAGTACATTATTAAACAGTTAACAATATACCATATTTGCTTTATTAGTAGCGCTTATGTTAAGGAGAGGAATTCCCTACTGCATTGTGAATACAAGAAATTTGTTAAAATCATTACTAGTTTTTATTCCACTTCAATTTTTACGATTTCCATTCAAAACTTATATTCAGTATTTCAGGTCTTCATTAGCAACCTTTTTTTTTTTCTGGATTTCCCATGACATTGTTTGCGTATCAGACGATAAAGATGGATATTGGTGATTTCCGTTTGGAAATGCAGTATTTATGGGTGAAATAGGCCACAAATCATGCATATATACTTGCAAAATAGTTTGTGATTGGTGATTCCACAAATCTACTACCCAGAAAAAATATTTGTACAAAAAATCTGCACATACTGAAAAATTCCCAAATTCATATCACTATTTATAAGCCATCCCTGATAGTACCATATTAGGTGATGTACATTTCTGTGTGTTTTTTGTCATATTCCAATTTTCAGTTCCAATTTGCACTGGGTATACAAGTAACTATTAATTTGATGGCATTGATATAGTGAGGTCATCTTGTATACCGTCACAAAGGTCATGTCTCAGTTTGTATAGAACTACTTTGATGGATTTTCTGCATTGTTTAGTTTGGGGTTGGTTAGGGTCATCTTTCCAAAAGAAACTAAGATAATATATTAGTTCCGGACTATTATTAAATGGAGATTTCTTCTCATCATTGAAAGTATTGACTGATGGATGCCTTGGAACAGGGCACAGTACAAGTGCAGATGTTGGGAATTTCTAAATTATTTTGTCCTCAGTTAATTAAAGTGAAATCTTGTGTCCTAATAATAATTGTTATTGCAGTTGTATGTAAACAAATGTTTGTACTTTCATGCATGTAATTCAATTGCTATATCATGTTTGCATATCAAGAAATTACAATTTTATTAGTGAAACCCTGCATGTACATGACCTTGTTACTACAGTACAACCATAGTATTCCATTTTAGATTTACAATAGGTTGGTGATTAAAAACACAAAAAGATTATGACGATGTGGATTCCTGTTAGTAATAGTACCGGTACAACTGATGTCACTATTCTTGTGTCTTACAAAACTGTAGGTACCGGTAATGGAGTAAAACTGTACCTGACTTGTTTGGATGAGGGAGGTAGGGAGGGGTGTCATTACTTAGTATTTATCTCATCTACACCTAATTTTGTATTTTCTTTTAAATGCAATCAGCTGAATAAACTACATAAAACAGTGACAACTCATTCATTAATTTTACTTGGTTACCTCTAGGTTTAAACTTGTAAGGGATTTAGTTTCCAAGGCTGTCATAAGCGATGGTTTAACTCCCATATGGTTTCATTATGTGAATCAATTTTCTCTTTGATGTGGTATGATTAATTTTCTTTTTTTCTTCCTTTTTATGAAATCCCAGGCAATGTAGCTGGATTAGGCTTATCTCTTTTACAAATAGAACCAACTGGTTAGGTGTAATTATCCTTTTTTAGATCCACTTTAATATATTTAGCATTGCTTTTGCATGTGATCTCCACATATGGATGAAATCTATCTGCATTCACAGCAACATTTATAGTTGAAACTTGTCTCATTTGGTGTGAAGTTACAGCTTTAATTAAAATTCCTCATTACCCCCCCCCCCTCAATGTTTTACTTGTCAGTTTTAATTAATTTACTCCACTTTGTTACTGCATCAAAATTATTTCTGATTATATAATTTGCAGTATAACATAAAGGAAGGGTGATCAGCTGGGTTTCTATTCTTAGAAATTACATTTCAGTGCCAGCAGCATATCTGCACTTGCTTCCCGGCTTCACTTAGATATATTTGTTATTCATTGACTGTGATTGATGTTTTTCCAGACTTGTCTGCAGTTGGCTCTCACTTGTACATTCTAATTAATGAAACAGACATTCCTAATGGTACATAACCTGAAAATGACCTTGATGTTGTCATTTCATCTTGTCTCTTTGTAATTCTAATTATACTCTTGACTAAATTTCATTAGGATATTTTATTTCATAATTTTCTTTAATGATTACATGTTAATATTTTGATGAGATTGGTTGACCCATCCCACTCTCCTATTTCTTAATTTTCTGTGGAGCTATACTCCAGTTATTATTGCTTCTGCTCATGAATGGAAATGTATATGTGTGTATGTGTACGTTTCACAGGTCATTTGATACAACTCTGCTAGATCATATATTGTACTGCAGGGAACTAAAAATCCAGTGGAAATCTCTGTGTGTTCAATTAATCTATTCGGCTTCTCATTGCTAAGTGATTGGCAGCGTGTTTTCAACAACACAGCTGGTCAACTGAAATTTTTCTGCCAAATGGCAGCTGACCTCAAACTTACATGTATAAAGAGTTTATAGGTAGTAGCCTCTTGGCTTTATTTCCCGGGAGTATAGCTGAGAAGCTCTTGGGAAATAAGCCGAGGATAGATTTTGAATTTATTGTACTATGTTTATAAAATCCACTGTATGTTGGCTAAGATTTATGTTATAATGCTTGTTAGGAACACCTAGTATTCAGTAAAAGTTTGTTGAATACCGTGCTACTTCTGTTTGCGCATCTTGCAAATCATGCAGGTTACAATTTAGAGTTTCTGACTAGTGTACATGTGTCAGTTCTGGAAGGCCAAATAAAATTTTGCGCAGCTATTATGTGTCACCTCAAATTAGGCCAATTTGATGATTAATATTATAAATAAATAGTTGTCATACAAGTTCGTGAACATGTTAGTGAGTTGGTTTCATTTGGAAAGTGGATTCATATATTATTATTATGCTTGATGTCTAGGATCAATCACGAGACTCTGTTTTCATATTACTTATTTACATTGTATGTGTATGTGCGCTAGCAAAATATTTTTTTTTTTTTTGCCATGTATGCAAAACATAAAAATATTGTTAAAAGGAAAAGTTAATGCTGTTATTGCAATTGTGTTCCGAAAATACTGCATCTCAATGTTGACCCTGTCTGTGAATTCTGGAAATCCCATAATGCCCCCCCCCCCTCACTTTTAATACTATAGGCACAACTACCTGTTGTAAAGATTTAAGTCCTGTTGTCTTACTGTGAGCAGGTACTATTTCTCTTGATTGTTCACTAGAGTGAGA